AGAATATCATCTGTGGGGAGAAGGTTATTAAGAACTCTCCAAGAAAAGAACAGCATGGAAGGGGTGAGGTGTTTTTGGCAACAGAAGATATTCCACTGGCAAGTGTCTTAGCAGTACAGATAGTTATGGATGTCTTTTGAGATACTAGCTCTAGTCTTGTTCAGCAAGTTGAGTTTCTCTTTATTTTTTCTGTCAAATTGAATAGTAGAGATGTAGCTAGCAGACTGCTCCTTCAGTAAACCCCTCAAGAAGTCCTCAGACCAAACATTGTCAACCCAGCAGTCCTTGACCAATCAATTCCCCTCCTTTTCATCCTTCAAAGGTTCCAAATAGTCATTAGAACACCATTTGTTATTCTAGAAATTAATATTCCCTTGTCCCAACTCCCATCTTAGCAGCTTATCAATGTATTCTCTGGCCTTGAGCATCTGAACCCAAATTCTAGAGTCTCCCACCTTCCTAGTGACCTCCCCAGGGTGAACAACAGGGTGGACAAACTTGTAGTATTTGGCCTGCATGAAATTGGCCCATAAGCTTTCATTCTGTCTAAATTTAATCCACAGCTTACACAGGCTAATGTGTTGCATCTGGTACAATCCTTTAAAACCTAAACCCCCAGCCTCCCATGGTTTAGCCACTTTTTGCCAACTAGCCCAAGCAACTTTTTTTCTATTTCCAGCCCACAGAAATCTGTTGAAAGTTCTTTCCAGCATCAAAGAGGTACTTCTTTTCATTGTAGCCACTTGGAGAGCATATAAAGGGATAGAGGTAAGAATGCTCTTCAGTAGGGTGATCCTACCACCATTGGACAAAAAGGAGTTAGACCCTGAAGAGTAGAGGTTATCTTATCAATAACCTCATCAAATTCGATCAATTTTGTTCTTCCTCTATTAAGATGGATCCCCAAATATTTAAAGGGGAGGCTCAAGCTAGAGAAACCAGTGTAAGAATGCATCCATTGCTTGATTGGTAGAGAGGCTTTTTTGTTGATCAGGATCTCACATTTGTCCTTGTTAACCTTTAGCCCTGACACCTATTGGAAATGTTGAAGACACTCCTTAATGCACTTGGTAGCAGGCTTAGAAGCCCTAGTTAACAGCAGGATGTCATCAGCATAGATCAGATGGTTGATGACCATCCTAGCTCTATTGTGACAAGAGTTGAAGCTTTTCCTATTCTCCTTGCAGTCCATCAGTCTAGATAAATAGTTCAACACCAGTATGAAAATGGTGGGGGACAAAGGGTCCCCTTGTTTAAGTCCTCTGATGGCTTTAAAGAAACCATGGGCTTTACCATTTATAAAAACTAAGTTTATGTTATCCTCAAGCCATCTTTTAATCATCTTGCAGCATTCCCTAGAAAAACCCTTAGCCTCCAAACATTGAATGATGAAATCCCAGTTTACCATGTCATAAGCCTTCATTAGATCAAGCTTAAAAATAGCATTTCCCCCTCTGCAAGGTTTCTCCAAATCCTGCAGAAGTTCTTGAGCCAGGAGGATGTTATCCCCAATACTTCTGCCTTTCACAAAGGCAGCTTGGTTAATGCTGACAAGTTGAGGTAAAACAGGCTGAAGCCTGTGGACAATGATTTTGCTTATGATCTTACTTATGACATTGTTTAAACTCAGAGTTTTGTATTGCTTCCAGCTGTCCTTGATAGAGGTCTTTGGGATAAAAACAATAGTAGAGGCACTGAAATAGTTAGGGAGTGAGTTTCCTTTGAAAAAATGTTGAATAGCTTTGATCACCTCTTCCTTGATGACTTCCCATGCCTTCTTATAGAAGTCTGAAGTAAACCCATCAGGTCCAGTAGATTTGGAACTATCAATAGAATTCAAGGCAGATTTTATCTCCTCCTCATTAGGAAAATCATTTAAGTGCAGATTAGCAGTGAACTTCTTGCTGTCTGTAAACAAATTGCTGTCAATTTGCACTCTCTCACTGATGGTCCCATTCATTAGGCTTTGGCAATATTGCACAGCACTTTCAGCAATTTCCTCTTACTTCTTGAGCCAAGTACCATTCTGATCCTTGATAGAGTGGATAGTGTTGCATTTCCTTTGGTATTTGATGCAAGCATGGTAGAATTTAGAGTTCCTATCTCCTTCAGCAAATTTTCTTTTTTTTGCTGCCTTTTGTTGAAGGAAATGGTCCTGCCACTGGATAGCATTTAAGAGTCTCTCATTAGCCTCAAGAAGAGCAGCCTCATCAATCCTTCCTTTGTTATGCTCCTCCTCCAACTCAGTTACCTCCTTTTCAGCCTTGTCAACAATCAGTAAGAGGTCTCCAAAAGTGTTCCAGCTCTACTGCTTAAGGGCTTTAGCTACCTTCTTCTAATTAAGCCAAAGGTTGATGAAGGGGTCAGGGTGAAGGCCTTTCTTCCAATGTTCTTTAATAATATTCAAGAAAGTTAAGTGCTGAGACCACACATTCAAGTATCTGAAGGAGCTTTTCTGGTAAGTCATCTTATTTCCTAAAGTGATCAGTAAAGGCCTGTGGTCAGAACCAGCAAGGCTTAGATGGGTAACAGATGTCTGCAAGAACTGTTGGATCCAATTGTCATTAGGAAGAAATCTATCCAGCCTCTCCCACAAATCCTTCCTTCTCCAAGTAAAGGTAGGACCACAAAACCCCAGGTCAAATAACCCAGCTTTTTGGATATTATCATTAAAGAATGATAAGTTGATGGGATTGGGAGGTTTGCCTCTCTTCCTTTTAGCAGGAGAAGAAACACAATTGAAGTCTCCTCCCACCAGCCAGGCCTTGTCAACTGAACCTTGAATGAGCTGCAAGGATTCCCACAGATCAATTCTAGCTGCTTTAGAACTGCCAGCATAGACAAAAGAAGCAGAAACTTCCATATCCATAAAACTGAGATTCATGTGTAAGATTTGGGTTTGGTTAAGTGGGATAGACCACTTCATTTCTTTCCTACAAAAAACCCAAATTTTGTTGCTAGTATTAGTGAATAAATTGAAGCCAGGGAAGGCTTTAGCAATTTTCAAAGTGTTGAGATGAACCATGGGTTCCAAAATGGGAATACACCAAAGTTTATGCTTCTTATTCTGATATCTCCTGTCCCTTCCACACAGGGGTGGGCAATCCCCCTATTGTTCCAACATAACAGATTAATCCTGGACCTAGTCTTCCCTCTATTTTTATTTGAACCAATTTTTGTCTGATTGATATGGACCTCCAAACTCTGTAGCTCCTTGCCTTTTACAAGATCTTGTCCTTCAGATTTATAATTCTTTTTCTTCTTAGCTTTCTGAATTTGTCAATTTGACTCCATCACTTTATTCATATCCTCTACTAGTTTCTGACTAGGGGGTTCCACCACTGGATGGTTCACATTTCTGGGAGATAGGGAGGTAAGTAACACCTCCCCCACTGACTCAGCCTCTGGTTGGATCTCCAATTCCTTAGCCTTTGTAGATATTTGGCCAGCAACTTTGCTGCCAACTCTAAATGTCCCTTCCACACTGGGTGGGTCCTTTTGGGTGGGAGACTTCACAGTCCTTTCAGTAAGCAAGGTCATCTTTAGCACTTCCTTATCATGGATATTGATAGTGGCATCCTCCAACTCCTACTGAGGTTGGTGCTAAGTCCTTCTAATGGGGGGTTTCAACCTATAGCATCTCTCCCTGTTATGTCCAAACATTTTGCAATGTTGGCAGTAATGTGGTCTTTGTTCCATGATGACTTCTTGCCAGAACCATTCTTTCCAGAACCCCCTCTGAGTGTCACCAATCCAAATTCTCTTAACCTCAGGAAGGGTAACATCCCTTTCCACTAAGATTCTTGCACTGGCTGGTCTGGCCTTATTGAAAGTAGCAGCATCAACCTTCAAGGGGGTACCCAAGGTGCACCCAATATTAAACAGTGCATTCAGTTTAAATAGATGCAAAGGCAGTTTAGGTAACTTAAACCATATAGGCACTGTGGGAGGTTCTTGTGATGGATCATAATCAGGTGACCATTTTAAAAATTTTCATTTCTGTTCCAGTATGATGATGGATTGCTTTGCAAATATTCTGGTATAGTCCTCTTCTTTAGTCAGCTGGATTAGGAGATGTCTACCATCCAACAGCCCTAGCTTCCAATCTGAAATCTTCAGAGATTCAAAGTATTTTCTTACTAGTTCCATCTTTGGATGCCCCAAGCTAAATTTTCCAATTAAGGTGAATTGAACCTCCAAGTTTAAATCAGCTAGCTCTTTTTCAGAGAAAATAGCAGCTGATTCCCCATCTTTAGTACCCACAGGGTGAATGCAAGAGGCAGCTCCTCTCCCAGCAGCAGTGTTATGAAATTCCTGAGGGAAGACTAGTAAATCAGGATCCAGAAAAGGGGAGGAGGGATTACCAACCACCCCATCATAGGTGGCTTTAGTCCATTGCCAATTAGTTTCCAAGTCAATAGGGGTACTCATGTTTCAAAAGACCAGGACCCCAAAAAAGGAACAGCAGAAAAAGCTTCATGCCAAACACAAACACCAGCTAAGGGAAGTAAGAAAACAGTAGATACTTCCTAAAGGTAGCCAAACCATAGCTTCCAAGCAAGTTACAGAGAGCACCAAGAATAAAAGAAGAAATAAAAAGAGGAAATCAGCTTCAACTGACCAATGGAACAGCAAAACTTCACTAAAATAGCAAGAAGCCTCAACTTCCCCCAACAAGGCCACCAAGAATCAAAGCAAAAAGTTCCAACCAAGCCAAAGGAACTTCTTCAAGATCCAGCCAGCTCCTAGAACAGTCTTCACAGCAACACCAGGCAGCTCCATTACA